AAAAAAAAAATTTTTTAATAAATATAACGATTTTTTAAAAATTACAAAATATTTTATATATATTTTTTTTAATCATATTATTTTAAAAAAAAAAATTATTAATATTTTATTTATATAATAAAATTAAATTTAAAAAATATTAAATATTAATTTTATTTAATATTTAAAAAAAAAATAGACCATCATTTAATAAATTATTAATTTCAAATACCTATAAATTTTTTTTTTTTTTTTATTATTAAATTTTTATTTTTTTTTTTTTTTTTTCATTTTAAAATAAAATTTTTATTTTTAAAAAAAAAAAAAAAAAAAAAATTTTATAATTAAAAAATTTATTTTTTTTTTTAGAATAAAAATATTTTTAAAAAGCATTTTTTTTAAAAATAATTTTTTTTTTTTTTAACTTTTTTTTGGACTATTATTTTTTTACAATTCTGTATAATAAAAGCATAATTTTTTGTTATTAAATTTTTTTTTTAAAGGGTGTAATAAACAGACATTACACACCAGCACACTACATCATCTATCAGTCATCTACAAGGTGTTAGTACTGAGCTTACTGCCTTTTTTTGAAAGGTCACTTGCATACAGTAGTTAGCCAGACAAAGAGGAGATAAGTTTTAAAGTTAAAAAAATTATAGTTAGCTGGGTCCAGTGACAGTGGTCTGCCTGGTTAAAATTTTTTTTTTAGCAGGACCCATAACATTTCAAACCAGTGACCTTTAAAAAAAAAAAAAAAAAAAATTAATTGATCACACCAAGTGGCACCATTCACTATTGTTGCCTTCTGGGCACACGATTTGCATTTTAATAAGCCTCTTGGTGGCATTAAGTGGATGAGCTGAGCATTTTGCAGTGACACAGCTGTAATTTTTTTATTTTTTACTGGCTGAATGCGGAGACTCGCCCTCTTCAAAGTGGCCATTTTTTGAAAGGAAAGTCTAAAAAGAGAAGGCAAAGAGTGCAGTGAAAATCTCCATATTCCACCTTGTATGCACTAAACTCCTACAATCTTTTGGCTCTAGCCTGCTCATAGGAGAAGTGGTCAGAGGCAGTGGGCTGTCACTTTTACATGGACTTATAATGGGCAGGTGAGTGTCACATACATCCACATACAGCCGAGATTGGCATTTTTTTTTTTTTTTTTTCTTTTTTTTACCTGGAAAAAAATGCCTGTCCGTGGAGCTGGTGAAAAGTCCCATCTTTTTTTTTGATTTTTTTTGCAGTGCAGTAGAGGGAAGGTTTTTTGCTGGAGGTATGCTCATTTTTTTCCGCCCTCTAGGGCAAGTCTAAAACAATCCCAGCAAGTCAGCCAGCAGCCCTGAACCTCATTGTCCTTCAAAAACCTTTCTGTATAAACTTCCAAAGGCGACTGCAATTTTTGGGCCCCAATTTCTCCTGGGGCCAATTCACTGATTCCTATTTCATGGATGGACATCATTAATAACATATATTACCGCATCCTGGGACTATGGGGAATTTACAACATAGCTCCAACATAAAAAAAAAAAGTAAAAATAAAAAATCTTGCCACTATATACCTATATGTATAGAAAAACGTTAATGTTATAGAAACACACACTAATAGTTAAAAAAAATTTTTTTTTTTTATAATTAAAAAATTTCAAAGAAGGCTTTATCTTTTTTTATCTATCTATTTATCTATCTATTATCTATTATCTATCGATCTATCTATTATTCTTTATTATAATTTTAAATATGAATAAACATATGTTTATACGTTGTTTTTTTTTTATAATATATATATATATATAAATATATATATATATATATATATAAAAAAACAAACAATATAAAGAATGATAATATAACATATTACATATAACTAATAATGATATAAATAATATGTGTTTATATATATATATGCAAATACCTTTAATACCAATAATATAAAAAACTGTGCACACAAAAAAACTTATACACACACACACACACATATATATATGTGTGTGTGTATATATATATATATATATGTGTGTGTGTATATATATATATATATATATATTATATATATACACACATATATATATATGTGTGTGTGTATTATATATATATATATATATATATATATATATATATATATATATATGTAAGGCACACACACAAATATATATATTAAGTATTTTTTATTATTATTATTGTTATTATTTATAGATAGAAACACAGATAGATCATGTACATATTTTCACACAGAAACCTTCAGCCCTGATTAGCGTGGTAAAAAAATCTTTCTCCTCTAAAGCTTCACCTGACAGCACCCCATTATACCCATTTCCTTCCATAGACACCCCTGTATGTGAGGCTCCTGCCGTGTAAACCGGCTCTGGGAGCCTCTTAGAACTTCTTTCACTGATCTGGAGCAATCCATGGAGTTACTGCAAAAGCAAACCTGATTTCTGCTAATCCACAGATCTGACACATCTAGTGACTTCATCCTTTAATACAGACCCCGGGAGATTTCCCAGCATTCACTCCTATACTATAAGGTTTACACTATATACCTATCCTGGGTGCCAAAGCCAGAGCATTCTGTTTGTAGCATTAAAAGGTATTTGTGGATTTAGCTGATTGGATAAAGTCAGGGTCACAAACTGGATCCATTCACATAATATTGCTTCCACACAGCTTATTTTTCATTAGGCCCTATTGAAAGAGTCGTCAGCTCACTGCAGCACTGCAGAACAGATTTCATACCTTACAACAGTGACAAATGATTCATTTGTAAGCAAGGAACTCCCTGCGGGCTACAATTAGTGGCAAAGGTTTTTTTTTGTTCAGCTTTGTAATGATTTTTCTACAGTTTGGAGCCTTTGCTGGGAACACTCAGTAGTAGTCAGGAATGAAAACAGCTCACATACAATTTAAAAAAAATGTTTTCAAAACTTCCAGCTCAGCTATGAAACCTCTAACAATCAGTATTTATCTGTACTATAAATATATCATAATACAAATATGCAATCTCTATTTGAAATGTGCTGAAATTTCAGATAAAGGAGGACAAAATATCCAACAGAGGTGCTGAATATGGAAGGCCCAAGAAGAACCTCCTAAAGTTTGAATTGTTACAAAAGATAACAAATTGAATGCAACTGAAACTGTTGCAAATACCCTAATAGCAAGCAACTTATCTAAACATGCTAAAGTGAGCCCACAATCATAGTAATAGGTTTCAAATATTCATGATCAGGCATGTTTATACATACTATGCACAAGCAGATATATAAATGTGTGTACAATACAACACAAACACACACACACACACACACACACACACACACACACACACACACACACACATATAAATATATATATATATATATATATATATATGCAAGATATTGCAAAACAATATCTATCGTATACATACATTAATAGAGATCCTCCTCCAGATAGATAGATGGGTAGATAACGTAAATATACTATCTATTTATCTATCTATCTATCTATCTATCTATCTATTAATAAGATATTAAGATATATACACACACACACATATATATAATTATGTATATATACATATAAATTTGATTGTGTTTATATATATATAAATATATATTGAAATATATTCAAATTTATACGTATATACCAATTATTCATAACGTGTTTTGCTATATATATATATATATATATATATATATATATAAATATATATATATATATATATATATATATATAATATTATATACACAAATATATATAAATAAATTAAAAAAAATATATATATATATAATTATCATTAGTTTAAAACCACTTTCATAATACTATCATAGGACCACAATAATTTACACATGACTTTAGGCCTAGACAAAAGTTACCCCAATCAATATTTCATCAACTGCTTTGTCAGTCTTCAGCCCAGAATATATCATTTTTCAAAAAAACGACAAAAACTATGTTCTATATGAATTTGGCCTATTTTTTTATTTCTGTGTCTCCATAGTAAACATTTGTATAAGTGACAAACACGGGCATATGACCACATTATCACAATCAAGAAATTTTTAAGACAATTAACAATCACTCAGTTGTATGCATTTTTACTCAACACGGGTTATACATAGTTTTTGCAAGGATTACCTAGAAGTACAATCGGTTTTTAAAACGTTTCACTACATTAAAAAAAAAAAAAAGGTGACCGACCGGTTAGTGAGCACATACACCATAATATACACAACACAAATTGAAGGCAGTATTCAGTTTGTCCCCCTCAAACTTACTTTAAAATAATTAGATTTTGTACTTTTTTTATCTTTTGTTTTTTTTTTTTTGTTTGCAACGGACAATGCTGCAGGCTAAAAGGTGAATTGTTGTAGAATTATGATTGTCATATTGTTACATAGATCAGTACATTCTGCATTCATCTATAACCCAATCTTTGGTCTAAAAGTAAACAAAAGAAAATAAAATACCCATTTTTTTGTTATGGTGTAATGATACAAAAGAAGTGGGCAAAAATAATAACTATGCAGTTGGACTTTTCATTAACATAAATACGAAATTACTTTTTTTAAATAGTTTCGAGTATATTATTTTTTAGCAGTTTTGAACTTTTAGCTTTATGACTTGTAATACTGCAGACATGGATTCCTGGCTACTAGAAGTGATAGAATTGTACTGAATAACAAATAATGGTACTGAGTAACAAATAATGCAAAGCAGTCGCTATGTAGAGATCAGTTATACATTCTATAGCATCAAAAAAAATGTTTTTTTGATTCCCAGAGGTCAGTGTGCTCCTACATTGCTTTCACTTTGACACCACGCCTCATCTTAATAGTAAAGAACCCTAGAGACTGAACAGACGTACACAAAAATAAGGGGGACTTCATAAAAAATACCTGGACTTGTCTTTTTTTTAAGTTTTTTTTGTCTTTTTTTTTTTTGTTCGCTGCTTTTTTTTTTTGTTTTTTTTCTTTCAGTTTTCATGTACAATTGAAATGTGTGTAAAATGTTCACTTACAGTCTTGCTCCCCTGGATGTTAATGTATCAAAGAGTTGGTAGATGAGCCCTGATTTTGATGTGTAAAGTAGTCAGACAGTCCTCCCGTTAGTCCCGTGGTAAAACTTGGCAAAGAAGGTCTGAGAGACTCACAGGGAAGGGTGGAAGGAGCCTGGGGAGAGGTGGAAGAAGAGGCAGCCCTGGCTGTCATGGACGTGCTGCTTTGGGAAGTTAGGGAAGGGTGGGGAACGTGGGGGAAAAAGTAGCCCGTTTGTCCAGCTAGAAGGTTCACAGAGCAAGGGTTTAAGGAGTAGGTCCCAGAGCAAGGAACTGGTAGCCCGCATGGCACTGAGGCAGCCAGGGCAGCGGCTGTGAGATGGTGGGTGGCATAGGGTATCTCCCCATTGACAAGTCTGTCTACGCTCAAGCCATTGGACGTAGAAAAGGAGTGGTTGTTCCCCAAAGAGTTTTGAGTCAACACTGAACTGTAGGGCATGGGGTGGCTTGGGTATGCTGAGGTTGTCCCATTGTAGCTCAAAGTGCTGCTGGCCCTTGGGTGATGCAAAGACAAGAAAGGGGACATAGGCCAGTACAAGGAGCCGGCTCTATCCATGAAGGTCAGTCCAGTGGAGGTGAGCCTGGCCCCTCTCTTGAAAGCCAGCTTAGCCCTGGACGTGGTGGATCTCCTGCGCAGCTTACCAGTGGTCCCACCAATGAAGACATCATCGCTGCTGGGGTCCAGCATCCAGTAGTTCCCTTTGCCAGGATCATCGTAGTGCCTAGGCACCTTGACAAAGCACTTGTTCAGGCTGAGGTTGTGCCTGATGGAGTTCTGCCAGCCTTGCTTGTTCTCCCGGTAGTAGGGAAAGTTCTTCATGATGAACTCGTAGATCCCATTGAGGGTCAAGCGCTTCTCCGGACTCTGGCGGATGGCCATCATGATGAGGGCATTGTAGGAGAAGGGGGGCTTCTCATACTTGCCGTTCTTCTTTTCGCCCTCCTTACCAGCCTCCCCATCTTTGGCCCCAGCACCGTCTCCTTTCTTCTCCTCGGGCTTATCCTTGTCTGAATCCCCCACAGCCAGCTCCGAGGAGGCAGAATCCACCTTGCCAGGAGGTAGGCTCTCCGTCTTGACCTCCAGGAGACTTTTGTCCAGCTCGTCGTCCTCCTGCACGGCTCTGTGGTGGGGCTGAGGGTGGTTGAGGAGCTGGTGGTGGTGGTGATGGTGGTGGTGGTGGTGATGCTGAGGCTGAGGGTGGTTGTCACTTTGGACCGCTTCAGGCACCAGGCTGTTGATGCTGAAGGATGACTTGGGGATCATTTTGACTTCCTTCCTCTCCCCCATGTCCAACATATCACAAAGATGGGAGCAGGACACTCGGGTGAAGTTGCAGCAGGAAGAATTCAGGAGGAGCAGCGGCGCTCACGGCTCTCAGTCGCACCAATGTCTCCAAACACTGGCAAGTCATGTAGCAAAAAACAAAACGCACATAATATTGGTGTTAATTATAGGGCTATAAATATAGACATATATAAATATAATCAAGAAGCCAGGGGAGAAAATGAATCAACTACTTCATGTCCCTTCAAAATAAACACAACAACCTCCCCTCTCAGCAACTAGAGTAGACAGCTATAGCTACAATTAATTCCAGACCCAGAGACACCAGGCTAGGAAAAAAAAAAGGAAGAATTTGGTTTAACCTTTGGGTGCTGGAACCAATGGGAGAGCTTTGGCTGCCTGGACGTTTCTTCTCCACCTGGCCAATCAGGATCAAAAGATTAGCCACAATCCCACCCCATGGCTTCTCCTTCCCCTCCTCCCCCCCCCCCTCCTCTCTGCTCCTCCATCTCTATGCGGAGTGATATGGGAGGGAAAACTCTTCACCTCTCCTCCCTTCCCCCTTCTTTTTTTCCCAAATGTGATCCCCCCCTCCTTTTTCTTCTACCAAATATCTGCCATTGCTTTCATCCCACTGTATTGGACCATCTTAGTTTTATACGTCAATATTTTCTCTTATTGATTAAAGTTTGTTTATACCTTTCTTTTAGGGAGAAAATAACCGTGGAAGGAAGAAAGTGGAAGAATCAAGGGACTACTTTGCCAAGCTGAGAGGACTGAGTATTTTCTGTTGTAGTCGTTTCATGCACCCGACTAAAACGCTGGCCACCCAGCGATTGTCGCAGATTTTATTGTGTTTATTTGTTGTTGTTGTTGTTGTTATGATGATCGCTGATTATACACCATTGATTTGGGTGCTGGTGTGATTCCTGTCTGTCTGCCTGCCTCTAAACGGATCTGGCTGCAATCAGGCCACTCTGTCTACAACCCTCAACAGATCGATCGGTGGGCAGAAAGCAGATCTGACCGATCTTGTCGTTGGTCTCTCCCTTGACGATCAGCCTGTGTATGTGTGTGTTATGGGCTCAGCACCGCATTGCAGTGGAATGTGTGCCTTTGTCAAGTGCTGTGACAGATCTACTACCCTGATTAGCCTAGAAGTGATTAATATTACACATTCATGAGACACAATTACTATCCTCGCCTTGATTATTGCACCAGGTCTATAGGATGATTAATATTATGCATGCAGCATCCACGTTAGTAGCCCTGATGATTTTCTATAGGCAAAATCATGTCTGGAATATGTCACTCATGAAGCCTTTGTGGATGCAATAGGCACACTGCAATGCATTGCTTTGTTTGTATACTCATTAGCAATTCTTCATCTTCAGCAGGACTTTGATTCGAAATTAATGACTAAAGTGTCGTGACAGTGGGCGACTGCCTTAGATTTCCTGTGTGTGTGCTTCTATCCTGCTAACCCCAATGGGGAGAAAATAAATTAACCGATTCCTATTGGCAAGGGGGTTACTATCAGTTCACAGCCAGGCACAGGGATTTCAGGGTGAGAGGCTGCAGGCTAAAAGACACAGGCCTGGCTGCAGCCTGGAAACTGGCACATGGAATTGTTAGACTGACTATACTCTACCTGCATGCTTCCCTGAGAGTGTGCCACCCTTCCTTCCAGACTGCCATGGAAGATCTGGCCAAGGTTTAGGGTCACCCTGAGTGACCCCATCACTTGGCTATAGGCTGACTGACAACTTATGCCTTTTATCATCAATTATCTATTTCATTGTAACTGTATGATGGATAAAAGAGTTGTGTGTAACGACTAGCCCCCATAGTAACTTGTTTCTTTTATGTTTTTTATTATTTTGTTTTATATATATACATATATATATATATATGCTGTGCATCATTGTATATGTTTATGACTCTTGTGTGTTTAATGCAAGCTAAACTAAATAAATAAATTAACCCTAGAATTCCCATCACTAAAAATGTCGTTCATTATTTTCATTACTAGTAATATTGCATATTATTGCAAATCTGATTCTATGAGTACATGTTTAAGGGTAAAAGTCTAAAATGTATGCATTATATCTGTGTATATTAACATATAAAATTATACATATGTACCTAGCTATACATCTAGATATATACATATATATAATGCATACTGAAACACACATGTAAAAAAATATGTGTGTATATATATCATGACCACACTATTGACTGAATTGTAAATGTTTTTTTAGGCTGATAGATAGATAGATAGATAGATAGATAGATAGATTGATTGATTGATATAATGTTTATTTGATTGATCTATCTACCTAACTAACTAGTTTATCTATCTATCTATCTATCTATCTATCTATCTATCTATCTATCTATCTATCTATCTATCTCTCTATCATTTATACAGACATACTGTATATTATTATTACATACAGACATAGATAGAATCGATAAATAGATAGTGGTCCTGTCCTGCTCGATCTGTCCTCCACAGCCATATAAAGACAGACAGACAGTGAGAGCTACAGCTTCCCGGTGTATGCCTAGGTGCAGGGATCCTCTGGGCTCTCTCCTGCCTTGGTGTAGGGATCCTCTGGTCTCTCTGTCTCCTCCTGCCAAGGTACAGGGATCCTTTGGTCTCTCTATCTCCTACTCCCTAGGTTCAGGGATCCTCTGGTCTCTCTATCTCCTCCTGCCTAGATGTAGGGATCCTCTGGTCTCTCTATCTCCCACTGCCTCGGTGTAGTGATCCTCTGGTCTCTCTGTCTCCTACTGCCTAGGTACAGGGATCTTCTGTTCTCTCTATCTCCTACAGCCTAGGTGTAGGGATCCCCTGGTCTCTCTCTCCTCCTGCTTAGGTTCAGGGATCCTCTGATCTCTCTATCTCTTCCTGCCTAGGTGTAGGGATCCTCTGGGCTATCTTTCCTCCTGCCTAGGTATAGGGATACTCTTGGCTCTCTCTCCTCCTGCCTAGGTATAGGAATACTCTTGGCTCTCTCTCCTCCTGCCTAGGTGTAGGGATCCTCTGGTCTCTCTCCTTCTACCTAGGTGCAGGGATCCTCTGGGCTCTCTCGCTCTCCTATCAAGGTGTAGAGATCCTCTGGGCTCTCTCTCCTCCTGCCTAGGTGTAGGGATCCTCTGGGCTCTCTCCTCCTGCCTAGGTGTAGGGATCCTCTGGGCTTTCTTTCTCTCTCCTCCTGCCTGGCTGTCTCTGAGTGTAACCGGATTCTATGAGGCTGCAGGTTAGATAAACATTTAGTGATGTGGAGTAACTGCACTATTTGTACTCTGCTGTGCAGGAAGGAAAGTGTTGATTAACACAGAAGGGAAAAAAGCGAAATTAGCTGATTGCATGCTCATAAGAGCAAGCTGTCATTGAACTGCTTTTAAAATAGACACAGCTGGGTGTTTATGTTGAAAAATCGCTCGTGTTTTTGCTAATACTGAAATAAGCATGATTTTGTATACCAAACATTTTCAGATCATTAAAATTTGTAATCTGTGCTGGTTTGTGACACAAAGAAAAGAAGAGATTCTTCTCCCAGTGAAATTTGCTGATATGATATTAACTCAATCAAGTTTTCACAAAAATGAGCTTTGTGTGCTCCATAACACTGACTGCATCAGTTCATTATACAGAATGCCAACCGTGACTGCTGTTTGTTAACATTGACTGTTTTCCCAAATCCCCCCATGGAACAAAGAGATCTGCTTCAGTCTAATCGCCAGTATTGTCTTCTGCTGAATTTTTAATGGTCAGATAAAAAAAACATCTCAGGTCAACAGTGTGGCTACAACTCTTCTCTATATATATCAATGTATGGAATATGGCTTTAAGCTGCTGTTTGGCTCAGTTTATCAGCCTGACTAGCGAATGCCTGGCCTATAGGGCTCTGTAGTAGTACCAGCATATCTAATATGACACAAAACACACACACACACTGATACCTGGTGAGAGGAAAGATGAGTCGTTCCCAGGCTGGGATTCTGGATGGTCTTGGGTAGTCTGGACTTCAGTCTGCCGCATGAATGCTATGTGACCAGGATTAGCAGAGCCCAGCATATACAATGGGCAACTCTAGCCCAGGACCACTAGCCAGCCCTTTTACTCTGGCAAAGGGGGGCAGGAGAGGAGCCTCCTGTGCGCTGGCAGTGAAAGGGTGAATCTCCAGCAATGCTGGCCTGACATCCCAGGCTACAATGTTGTCTACACAAGCTGACGTTACATTGGTCTCCCATGTCAGGAGCTTGTAACGTCTGAGTGGACTCCATGAGACCTGGCTTGGGGGTTACCTTGCAATGCATGAGCTGCTCTCTTTGTGTGCTGGAAGTTACCTGGAACAGCAAGCTAAGGTCTAAAGTATTTGCAAACAAAAATGAAATTCACTCCACTAGGAGCCTCTGGCAGCCCCTCACTCCTACAACTCCTGGGAAAGTTGGTCAAAGTTCCCTCCCAGCAGTCCCATCCACTGTCCATCCATCAAGAATTAGTTCTGCTGATGGATAATGTATGGGGAGAGATATGATATGGATAATGTGGATGGAGAGATACATAGAAAGGCACTAGAAATGATAGAAAGTAAGAAAGAAAAAGAAAGAAAGAAAGAAAGAAAGAAAGAAAGATAGATAGATAGATAGATAGATAGATAGATAGATAGATAGATAGATAGATAGATAGATTTAAAGTGTGTTTATTTGATCTGTCTATCATTCTTTCTCATATATATATATATAGATAGATAACTAATGGCTATATTGTTGGATAACTAGATAGATAGATATCAAGTGTGTTTTTATTCTATCTATATCTATCTATCTATCTATCTATCTATCTATCTATCTATCTATCTATCTATCTATCTAGCTATCTATCTATCTATCTATCTATCT